AGTAGCTGGGATTACTCCTGCCTAGGGGAGTAGTTTTCTAGCAGACAGATGATTTCGGTATACTAGCCATACTACCCCTCTCTAGTATCAGACACCTGTCAAATCAAGTTCATCATTTCAAGATTGCTTTTGAACTCCAAATCAAGTACAGATGTGTGAATGATCCACAAGTTAGTCTTCAGCTGTAGCATGTACTGGAACCATCTGGAATGACTGTAAAACACAGAGCACTGAGCCCCATCCCCAGGACAGGAATGGTACCTGAGCATTTACATTTCTAACAGGTTCCCAGGTGCTGCTGCTGCTGCTGGTCAAGTGGCCACTTTAAGGATTACTGTCCTATACTAGTAATATGTAGCCCAGGTTGTATTTCAACCTTGAGAACTATTACTACTTTGTTGTAGAGAATAATTTCCTATTGACTAGAATACTTGTGTCTGCCAAATGTCACTTTTTTTTGGACAATACTTGATAAGCAGCTACAAACCTAGTAACTAATGCTTGTCCTACATCAGTCATCAAAGATATTATCACTAGGCATGTTATTTGGTAGATATGTTGCAGCATAGTTGAAGTGACCTTAACTGTTTTTTTAATATTTATTTTTTTAGTTGTAGTTGGACATAATACCTTTACTTTATTTTTATGTGGTGCTGAGGATCGAACCCAGGGCTTTGCATGTGATCAGTGAGCTCCCTACCACTGAGTTACAACCCTAATCCCACAACTTTCTTTACTAGTTATTAAATATTGATCACACTTTTCTGAGCATATTCCTTAAGTGCTTTGGTTTATAGCTGACTTTTGTAGTTAGAGTTTGGGGAATCTGCACTTCTTATTTGAAAGCACCTTTGAGATGGACCTATTTCTCTCGACAGGCGGTCTCTTCTGTCATGGGTTGTTTCTTCCTGCTTTAATTCCAGAGGGCACAGTTTTTCCTGGCATCATCCTCCAAACGGAGGGGGTGCATGCTAGTTTCCCACCTGTATTTATGGTACATAATGATATCTCATGTTTGCTGGGAGGGTATTGTTTAGGAGTTAGGGTACATATCTTATATACGCGAACTTTTTCAGTCTTCACCATAACCATATAAGGAATGTACTTTTATTATCCCAAATTAAAGATCAGGAAGGAAGCCTAAGGAAGGTGAAGGAGTTTTCTTAATTCATACTGATAATGTGTGGGCAAGCTAGGATTTGAACGCTGAGGTTAGATATTTGATTGTCTATTTGTTACTTTTACTGTCCTTGGTATGCACACTGGGGAGAGGAACTATCTTCCAGGCCTGTCTGTTGACTTGGGAAGGGTCCCCACTGCTGCTGTTCAGGTCGGTTCAGGACAGAGGCTCTTGAACAGGAGGCTGAGAGCAGCTGAAATTGAACTGTGCTTAATTGACTCAGTTGTGCTCTGACTGGTGTGAGCTCTGCCTCCTAAGCTGTGCCTTCTCCAACTTCACATGAAGGCTGTAACCACCCCATAGAGCAGTGGTTAAAAGGGAACTCTTGCTCTGCTCCTCTGGGAGGAAAAGGTGCCCAGTCAACGTTTTGGGTCTCTTCCTGACCTCCTTCTCTCTATGGAAACCAGTGTGTTCTGTGACTGGGCTGGTGGTGGTGAATTTAATTTCAGGGGGTGTGTGTGTGTGTGTGTGAGTGGTAGAATCAGAAAGCCTGATGGGGCATCACATCTAAATCAAGTGTCTGAGGTTGATTCTCTAAAAGAATTTGAGGCAGGGATTTTAGTTCTTGTGATTTCCTGAGAGAGTGCTTCTCAGGAAAACCTATATTGGAGCAAGGGGAACGGAATAGGGGAGGAACCATTGCTGAGTGATCAAGGACATGTGCACATGTCCTTGTTAAGGTTAAGCACATCTGCTCTTCGGGGGAAGACCCAGCACACAGGGAGCTCACAGCAGTAGCTTGACCTTGAGACAAGAGGGCTGATGGCTTATGGGGAAACGGATGGTGGTCTTGTACCTTCTAAGTGAAATGGTCCCACTGGCCAAGACAACTCCCTGATAAGAGGGCCATTTATGAGATGCTAAGCAGGCCACACTCACAGAATCTGGGGGTGGTGGGTGCTCTGGTCCTACAGCTCTGCTCTCAAATTTAGCATGAACAGAAATAAAGATATATTTTTATCTTCTACTTGGCTCAGGCATGTACTCTTCACGTAGAGGAAGAAATCTGATTATTACTCTAAAACCTCAGCAGTAGGCAACCAAGTTTTACTCTGCATTAATACCAGATTGAGATGGCTTATTTACAGAATAATCACACATTTGCTTAAGCCTTTCATCACAGCAATGTACGATAGAGTTTGTCTAGAAGAAGGAAATGAAAATAATAATTTGTTTGCTTTGGTTATTTTTCTTTCTAATAAATAAAGGGTACAAACTCTAGTTGTATATTGTAAAAAAAAAGTATAAAAGAGAACAGGAATAATTAAAGGAAACATAAATAGTACTTTTGGTTAATGTTGAAAATGCTTTAGCCACAAAGGCTCTGTAACATATTGGAGAATATTCAGACTTTGGAGAAGGGTAGAGATCGGTCCAAATTGAAAGTCTGCCTTGTGTAAGCCGCTTGAACTTAATCTCTTTTAGATTCATTCTCTTCACTTATAGGATTGTTGACTCAATAAAAGATTTAAAGCTTCTCTTATGGTGCCTGGCACATAGTGTGTACTCAAAACAAAGAGACCACTCATTCAATGAAGATTCACTGCTAATATTGCTGTTAGTCAGCTTTGAATCACTGTGACTAAAATATCTGACAAGAACAACTTATAGGAGGAAAAGTTTATTTGGGGATCATAGTTTCAGAGGTTCAGTTCATGGTCATCCAACTCGATTGTTTTGGGCCTGAGATGAGGCAGAACATCATGGTTGAAGGGTGTGGCTGAGGAAAGCTTCTCAGCTCATCGCATTTGGCAAGCTGAGAAGGACAGAGAAAGAGGGGGCAGGCAAGGGTCCAGAGAAAAGATATATACTCTTCCAGGCCATACCCTCCATGACCACTTCCTGCAACTAGGTCCCACCTCTCAGTAGTCAATGAGTTAATCCATCAAATCTGTTTTTATACTGAATCTGCTGATGAAGCCAAAGCCCTCATAATCCAATCATTGCCACAAAGTCCCACCTCTTAACCTTGCTACATTGGGAACCATGCTTTCAAGATGAAACTTTGGGGAACATTCCAGATGCAGATAAAAATTACTGAAATATCTCCTAAGCAATGCACTGGACACTGGGGGTACTAGTTTTAATTATGACACAGTTTTTGCCCCCAAGAATTCTTAGTCTGGTGAGGGAAAGACATGTGAGTAAATAATTATGAGTGGGACTTAACAGGTATAACTTTGGAAGAGTGGATGAGGAAGTAATTGCATGTGGGAAAACCAGACAGTCTTTGCAAAGAAGAAGAACAAATGAGTTGAATTTTGTAAGATGTGCACAAACTTCATGAAGAACAAGGGAAGTCCAGGTAGAGAAAACTCCCCCCACCTTCTCTCCTGAGCCTATTGTGACGGAAGCAACTTTCCTTTACTGGGAGCTTCCACCATGATGCTCTGCCTCAGCAAAGGAATTGACCATCTATGAGTTGACACTTCTGAAACTGTGAGCCTCAAATCAACTTTTCTTCCTCTAAGTTGTTTTTTGCAGGTATTTTGATCACAGCTGGGCAAGATCTAACTAAAACAGTGTTCATTAAGAGTTATTTAAAAACTCTATTACTAGCCAACTGGATGTGGGTACCTCTTGTTATTAACCAATACGCACCCTCCATGTTGGTCCTATAAGCTTTTGAACTATGGATGGCACTTCATTCCCATTCCCAAACATGACTTCTATGCTCATGAACCCTCAGTAAATGATGATGAAGATTATTATGATATATTAATATAGGTATTTAGGATACAACTGAAGCATGTCAGAAAATGGGTATGAGTGTTTTGTTTAATTTACATTCATTGAATTACAATTTAAGTGAGTCATCGGCTCAATGTTTACATAACTGTAATGAATTTTTAAAATAAAAGTCATTTATATATTAAAAATGGCTTATTTTATATGATCTAAGTGACAAATTCTAATATATCTATGTAAATCAATACTTCCTGTTTTGTGATAGTTTAACTGAAGAAGATTATGGAGTTCAGATCCTTTAATTATTAAAGAGAAACAAATAAATATTGAACACCTACCATGTTCTAGAAGCATTATGGCACCACTCAAGCTTCTCAACACCTTTGGCAGATACATGGAACAGTCACTACTATTTGCCTATCCACCCTCTACACTCCTTCTTACTAACAAAACTCTATATTTGTTCTGATATGTGGAGCCCTTGCCTAACCCTGGGAGATAAACAGTGATTCAGCCATAGTGTTATGCCCTTTCCCCCATGACTGGTTTAGGGGTGGCATGTGACTCTGTCTTGGCCAATGGGACCTAAGAAGACACCTTCTAGAGGCTTCTGGGTAAGATTTTTCTCTTGGTGGAAAGGCAAACTGCACAAGGGGAAGCTTTTCACATCTTCTGACAACTTGAGGAATTTGGATGTGAGAATATAATTCTCAGAACTGGAGGAGCCATCTTATGATCATGAGCGAGGAGCCAAGACCATCTTAGAGAAACCAACAAGACTTCTGAACAGCTGAGCTGCAGAATCACCCCGGAAACTGACTACCTGTGGACCGTGTGATATGTTAGAAAAACGAGCCACAGTTATTGGAGCCAGTTTCAGTCAGGCATTCACTCACTTGTAGCCAAAAGGATCCCTACTGATTTTCTATTCCTATTTACAGGTTAGGTTACTGAAGTAGAAGCAGGCCAAACCATTAATTCAAGATCTTATAGATATTGAACAGGTATGAAAAACCACGTCTGTCAGACTGTAAGGCCCAGGCTCTGTGTCCTAGATGTTAAACAATTTTAGTTTAAAGAAGTATCTACCCTCTTTCATCACTTCATTAACTCCCTGCTCTTTACATTCTAGGCATTTTCAGTATCTTCTTCTCATCAAACACAAGGTAAGGCATGATTCTACACCAACTAACTGTACTCTGAAACAGCTAATAGTTACACTTTTTCGATAGTTTGGTATGTACTTTGTGTTAGTGTTTTACATGCATTATTTTATTCTCATACTAACCTTGTGAGCTAGGTTGTTTCAGATGAGAGGATAAATTTCAGAAAGGTTAAACAACTTGCCCAAACTCACAAATCTCCCAAGAGGCAGAGCCAGGATATAAACCGCTTTTACCAGCATGTTTAACTAGTGTGGTGTACTTTGCATATTCCTTCAATCCCACCCTTCCATACGCCATCTCTGAAAATCCTGAGTAGAAAATAAAGTTTTCCCAGATTCTTTCCTACTTTTACAAGGCAACTGACTGCCAAAAGAAGTTTCTGCAAGAAGAATACAGTTGGCTTTTGCCAAGACGAAAAAGGAATTAACTTAATATGGTGCCCAGCTGCTTGCCAATAAATTATAATATCTTAGGTTGGAAGAGACTGCAGAAGTCATCTTGTCCAGCTTTTCCTTCCCAGAATGGCTACCTCAGGCAGGGCTATTCAATCTTTGCATGGAAACTTCCATTGATCTTGGGATGGCTCTCTTTGGTGTAGTTCCAATTATTAGAGAACTCATTCTTTTTATGGATTTTTTTTTTTTTTGCAACATGATTTTAGAGAATCCAGGTCTACCTTCCCTGCAAGTGCAAGCTTTGATGCTATAATGATTTGAACATATAATCTTCTGAACATATAATATTACTAGTCCTTGATCAGCTTCCATTTCCTCATTATTAAAATAGGGAAGAGAATCTCTAGCACTATTGGGTCAGAGGAGAGATTAGGGGAGAAATTCACACCCCTACTACAAATTCCCAAGGGAATTCAAATGGTTTGTGTTGTTCCTACTTTAAGTGTAGAACTTTCTAGTCAAGTGACCTCACAAACGGTTGGATAGGAAGTAGCTTGCCTTTGTGTCCACTAGTACATGATAGAAATGTCCTCTTTTAAGGGTTTGCCATGAGTTTACCTCATCAGGGACTGGCTATAATGTGGTAGTTTCCTTCAGCAGAAGACCATAGGCCTGGTGGTAACGTAGAGTATAAAATAGTTCTGCTTAGTAACCACACCTAGTTTGGCATATAAGTGCTCAATAAATATTAGTTCATTTCACTTGAAGACTTTTCTGTTTCTCACTGAGTTTTATTCAGGAAATATCCACTGAGTGCTTAATATATTTGCATGTTTTCTGTCTTTGCTACAGATCCCCTGATGCAGAGATTTCATCTTTCAACATTTTAGTCTTTTTTTTGTAGCTCAAAGAGGAGAAGTCCTCAAAGTTTGACAGTTATCCCAATTGATTGTAAGACACCACCACACTACAGTGAGGAAATCAGAATTATTTCAACCAAATTATTTCTAGTCCCCACAATTCCTCACATCTTCATGTGATGGTGAATCGTTGAACATTTTAAATCAATAATGCTCACCTTGGAGGAGTCTGAAGCGTGGCCATGCTCATGCTCATAGACTGGATCCCTATCCTTCTCTACTTCCTGTTGCCATAGTTGGGACCTAGTGTCCTAGGCCAGCGTGACTCATGGTCCAGTTTTCCCCAAAGTTTAATGTAAAAATATCTTGGGGGAAAATTTTTTCAGATTTATAAACCTCATCCTCATGTATTCTGATTCATATGGCGCCTCAGAATGGACTTTAAAAATAGTAACTCCCAGGTGAGTTGATCATTTTGAGAAACATGCAGTTAGGTTAAACCTCATTCCTGGATCATCAGCTCAGTGGCTTTCCTGAAAGTAAGATTGTTGCAGCTTCCTTAGTTGTTACCTTCTTAAATTCAGATCCTGGGGCTCTTACTTCTTCCTTGAGAGAAAATATTATTTGTTTTTGACCCCAGTGAAGGTGGTTGTCTTGTAACAACTCCCTGACATATCTTTCAGGACCTGGGGACTTATTGTGGAATTCCAGTCCATTATGTCTGGGTTTATTTTCTCTACACTCACTGAAGATGGAGATTTCTGGATCCAGAAAAAGGTAAGAGTAATTGATTAGATGAAAACTAATTCTGTGATGCATCTGTTGTGTGATAACATCGAACTGGAAACACAATAATCAAACCATGGGCACCACCCCTACAGTTGTCATCCTGGACTTCATTACTTAATTGCCCTTTGTGTTCTCAGCTGAGTTTATACTTGCATACTTATTTCTGGTTCTGGCTTTTGAGTGTGTGAACTCCCATTTATCACTCCCTTGCTTGGCCCTGCACAACTTCTAGACTATGATAAAGTCTAGTGTTGGGTCATTTGTTTCTTTTGAAAACTGATATAATGATAATAATAAGCACCAATAGAGTACATGTTACATGTATTATATTTATTATATCATTTAATCCTTATAGCAAAAGTATGAAATTGGTCTATTCTTATCCCTAATTTTAAATAAAAAGACTGAGGCACCAACAGGTTGGTGTTACATGGTTGTGGAATTAGTATGCAGGCCACGGGTGCTCTCAGAAAGTGCCTTATATTGCTTTGTTCTATCTCTGCTGAACTCTCCCTTGCTTACAAAGAGACAAAGGAGTGGAAGTGAAAGACTGAAGTTCCTCCTTGGAACTTCTTGGGCAGCATTTAATTCCATATTCCCCCCCAAAAGAACATTTTTGAAACCATAACATTCCCTGTTATCTCCCCTAATAATGAGATCATCTCAATGATCCTGGGGGGGCTAGTTGTATTTTATCAGTGGCGCCTTTGTTACACAATTTACATTTTTGTTGTTGAAGATACAATAAAAGATTTATGTCTGATGGGCTATGATGTGGTTTGCATCTAAGAGAAAAACAATTCCTTCCAAAAAAATACCATATCCCCAAATGATTTCATAATTGCAAACAGTGTTGACGAGCTCTTTGGCTTAAATAAGTTTATAACATATTTGCTGTGTTTTGGTGTAGATATGTTTTGATGTGCTTGCTAAGGAAAAATAATTAAAACCCCTCTGCCATTTCTAATTGAGAAGAAAGAAATGCAACCCATTAGTTGATGTCTACCATCATAAGATTTTATTTTTTCTCCTTCATTTCATTCCAGATTTGTTTCAAGGATTAACTTGCGTTAAATAGTTTCAGGTCTGAACGTCAGCCATGTTTCTCATTATTGGAGATCAAAATGGCTTAATTCCCTTTGTGTGTCGGTGCCACTAAAACACAAGGGAATCTTAAAACTACAAATTTCTGATAGAAGCACCACATTTTCTTAGTCACTCTGCCCAGCAGAGCTTGTGCTTTTTGTGCATTCACTGCTGAAACAATTCTTTGTGCCAACAAATCCCAAGGTTTTGATGTCTTGCACAGGTTAGGCAAGAATTCTAGCAGTGGTATTGTGACTCCAAAAGTCTTGTCACTCTTGTACCTGCAAAAATGTCATTGTGACTTTTGTTTTCTAATGTTCATTGGATAACAGTTGTGTTTGGTCGCTACGCAGAATGTGGCCATCCATCTGATGGAGTAAGAACTCAACATCTAAATTAATCCAGGAGCTTCTGGATTTCAACAGACTTGTCTTTAAATTCTGATTCAGTTACTAGCTATGTGACCTGGGTGGAGTTTGAAAACCTTCCTCATCTGCAGAATGGGATTAATAGTAGTACCTCTTTATTGACTGGAGAAAAGCTACAAGGAATTGATGCCATGTCAAGCAATTGTCCAGAACAGGAGCGTATGTTAAGCACTCATTACTGCTATTGTGTGTTGCACTGTTGCACGGAAGGCGAGAGACTTCTGGAGAATCTTCCCAGCTCTAGAATTTCATTGTGACTTTTCTAGATTTGGTTGCCTGGTCAATTTAAGCTACACAATTAATACTAATGAAAAACTGGGGGACATGGAAAAATGGGGGCAAGAAGTAGTATCCTTCTTCCTTGCTTAATATTGGAACCCATTGAGGAAAAAGACCAAGAGATTTGGGAAATGGTTCCATTGGTGAGCAAGGACACACATTTGTTTAACAGCTGGACAAAGATAGAGGCGCCAAGTCTAGTTCTATTTTGACTGACGAAATCAAGAGTAAAGACTGAGGCATGGGGCTGTGGCTTCTTCATGGAGAACCTCAGAAAGAGCTGTGTTTATCCTGTCAGCTGGCCTCAGGCACTGGCCTGCCTCCTGAGGAGCAAAGAAAATGTATTCCCACCTGTCAGCTTGCTCCCAAGGGTAGATGAAGGGGGTCTTCAGGCACATCTCAAACTCACCAGTCTGTCCTCCACCTGGAGAGAACCATCAAAAAAAGTGTAAAAGTGAGTGTTCCCCTGATAGGATTATCTACCTCAGAGTCTATAGAGTTTAAGAAATAAATGACCCAGATTTGTCACTTCCTGAAGACACAGTTTATGGAAGATAAGTTTAGACCGAGGTATTTTATTTTACTTGTAGGTTAAACTAGTTCATATCAATAAACTCAGTCTTTTCTCCTAAGTCCTCAGAGTCCTGGTGACATAATATCCTATGCAGAGGTGGGAATTCAGCAGAGAATCTTTCCTGGGCTGTTGCCCTCCCATCTCCCTATAGCTTCTTTCCTTCCTTTCTATTTATGACCCCGATTATGGATCTTACCTGTACTGCTCCTAAGTCTTCATACAGAAGTAACTGTTGGCACGGCCTCAGCTGCCAGACTGGTGATAAAGCAGCTGATGTTTGATTTCTCATGTGCTTAAACTCTGAGCAGAGGTAAATTGTTTTATGACAAGACTTGGCACCTCCATCTTTGTCCAGCTGTTAAACAAATGTGTGTCCTTGGTCACCAATGGAACCAGACTAGAGGGGTGTAGATAGCTGAATGTGTGCCATAATTACTACTGTTAAAACAACTCGAAGCACATGTCCTACTGACAGGGGTGTGGGGATGGCAGGCGGCACATGCGCTGCACAGACGTTCGGAGGTATGTTTTCAAATTGGGCTTTGCAGGAGGTCCCAGCCACACACACACACTTTCAGAATCTCAGCTTGTGCGTGAGGAGAGGAGTCGCATAGCACATGCACGGTCCCTTCTTTTCTGTGCTGTCACTTCAAGGGTCTTCTTCAGATCAGAAGCCTTTTCCTCTGTGCTGAGGCTTTTCTTAAACTACTTTTATTACAGTACCTGTATCATTGCTTTTTAATTTTTAAAACCCATTTTGAGTTTCTCACTTGGCTGCGAACCCTGCAGGTTGGTTGAAGCCACCTTGTTCATAGTTGCTTCAGGAGCACTAAATACATGGACCCATGGGAAGAGCTCAGAGAATATTTTAGGATTTTCTTTTTCTTTTTCTTTCTTTTTGGTTCCAGGATTGAACCCAGTAGCACTTAACTACTGGGCCATATCCCCAGCCCTTTTTTAAAAAAAATTTATTAAGAGACAGGGTCTTGCTGAGTTGCTGAGGGCCTGGCTAAGTTACTGAGGCTGGCTTTGAACTTGTGATCCTCTTGCCTCAGCCTCCCCAATTACTGGTATTACAGGTGTGAGCCACTAAGCCTGGCTATTTTAGGTCTTTCTTAGGAGGTACTTCCTAAGTCACGTGACTTTGTTTAATTTCTAGCCACGATCTGTAGACTCAGATACAGTTTTCAAGGATCTCCAAGATCTCTGAGAAGTTGACTGCATTACTATCTTTTTTTGGGACATGTCTACTGCCAATACACTGGGATACCTGGGCTCCCAAGTTCTCAACACCACAATGTAAAGAATCATGTTTCATCTACACCTTGAACTCTGCTGTGTCAGTCTAATCCGTTCTTTTTTGTGCAAGGAATGTCAACATTGGAACCTATACATAAAATTTCAGGCACAACTAAAACTCAGTAATTAAGATAAATAATATTTCAACCCAATATTTTGAAAATTCTAAACGAATGCAGACTTTTTGCTTATCAAAATTTTAAATGAAGACAGTTTCAGTATTCTCAATTTTATTTTCTGCCTCAAAATGGCTCTTCTTTATTGATTCACTTGCTTCACCCTACTTCTGGCCTTGAAGAAGACAGAACTGAGGAGAAGTCTCCTTGGCTGTGACTTTGCTGATTTTATTTTTTTATCCCCTTCCTTTTTTGTGTGTGTTTGAGATGGAGGGTGGGAGATGGTACATGTTTCAGGTAGAACCGAAAGGTAAATGCACAATCATAAAAAATAGAACTTGTTGTCAGATCTGAAGTGCCTGTATTAGGAAAGATTTAGTAGGGAAAATATTGCATATTTAATAACTGAATAACAAAAGACTGAAATAAATAAAATTTAATAACATCTAGCAATAAGACTGCAATATTTATTCCTCATTTGAATGTGCATAGCTTCATTTTTATTTGCCTTGTCCTTTATTGGAACTGATTTTTTTAGAGGGCTTTTTCTTAAATTGCTCTGGATTTCCTTTAAGCAGTACAGGATGCTCTTGTATGCAAAGTTACTTATAAATGAGAGCAAATGTGTATGAAATCGGCAAATGTTCCAAATGCGCCATTCTTTCCTACTGGAAGAGCTTTCTTCATTTACATAGGAGAACATGAAGCCAGAAAAAGGGGAAAAACACAAACATGAAATCTTCAAGAGCCTTTTGGAAACACAGCAGAAAAACAACAACGAAGAGCCAGACCGAGTGGTTTTTGAATTTCTTGCAAAGCTGCAGCTACGCGCAGGGAAGAGTTCTGTCCCTGGGATTGTTCAGTTGCTGGGGCTGGACAATAAGGTGCTACTGCTGTGCAGGCTCTGGATGGGAGGGAGAGGGGAAGATTGTGTAATTGTAGAAAAGCATCTTGAAACTTTTTCAGTTTCATTTGTTTCCAAACAGGAAAACAAAGTGCTGAAGAAGCTTGAAGAGAAGGGAAGCCCCAGGCAGTGTTTTCTCTATTGAGGCACAGCTGTGGCTGTATTGCAATATTTCCCAAGTGTTTTCTTTGGATCTCTTTACCTGATGCCAATGGTACACAACAAAAGTAGCAGAGAGCTGCTTGGTTGGAATGAAATCCGGGTAAAAACTCTTTGAGTTTTCTCCTTGCCTCTTTCTGGAGCAAAAGGAGTGTCTAATTTGCTTATGTGTGCAAGTATCACCCACCCAACACACACACGCACACTCACACACAAGTTCCGGAGGTGCAAGTTGCAGGCAATCTTTCCTGCTGAGCTGATTGTGGGAAGGTACAAAATCTTGGCCCACAGCGTACAAAATGAGATGCAAATAGACCCACTACTTAAGACTAGATTGCTCATTTTTTTTGACCCCTCCCACAGACGGAGAACTGCAGATCTGAGGGAGCAACATTTTTTTTTTCCCCTGGATGAGTCGTCTCATGGCTGGTTGCACATTAAAAACACCTAGGGAGCTTTAAAAACTATGGATGCCAAAGCCCTACTTCAGTCCTATTAAATTAAATGTCCTAGGGGTAGGAAGCATGCATCCAAATTTTTTTAGAGCTCCCCAGGTGATTGTAATGTGCAGCCAGAGTTGAGAGGTCCTGACCCAGAGCTGGGGCCCACAGACGGCTCTTTTCTCTTCTCAGGTTCGACACTCCACCCCAACAGCTCCAACCAGCAGTGGAAGCTAAGACCTCTTACAGTTTAATTCAGTTCAATGACATACAATTCAATTCAATAAATACTTATTTGACTGCCTTTTTACCCTCAATTTCTGATTGTGTCTCCTGTGAGAGTAGTAAGAATTCTGTTTTTCAGAAAAGAGGGCAGAGATACTTGAATTTGCCTTATTTGTTTAAAGGCATATTTTTAAAAATTACCCTCTTAAACATGGATCACAAGTTGCTAAAATTATCCATTGGATTTAGAAATCATCCTTTCTCTCGCACTGAAAGTACTAAGTAGATATGTGTTTGTATGTATGTAAAACATTTATCTTTAAATTTGTCCATTTATTCAGTGGTGTTATTAAGCATTGATGAACTAAGATAACTAAGACAGTGTACTGAGCTTGTGAAGACTGCCCAGACTAGGAGATGTGATATGTGGGCAAGAAATTCAAGTACCGTGAACTGCAGAGGCTGGAAGAGATATGTAGAAAAGATGTTGGAGATTTCTTCAGAAGGAGGAGTTGTGCCTGGCAAGGTGGAAGGCTTACAGAGGAAGTATAGAAAAGGAGCCATTCTCCATGAAGGGTTTCAGGCAAGGGAGGAACGTGCTTTTTGGAGATCAGAGTTAAATGTCTGGTTGAAGGTTCCTCAGGGCACACAGGAGATGGGAAGATACTGCCAACTGCCTTTGAGCTTAGTCTGTTTGACCAGTGGTTCTAAACCATTCTTGCCTCATGGCTGAGTTTCAAAATCATGAATTTGCGGCTACCTTTGAGCTTGCAATGGTTGAGAGGATACTGGTGGAAGGACTGGGGCTGCCGGCTCTTGGAATGCGATAGAGAGGTTGTGGAGAAGTAGAATGGAGGCTGTAGAATTGGATTGACCTGGGATTTTGTACACTGGCTGTGGAATCCTGGGGAAGCTACTCAACTTTACCATGAAGTTATACTTCTTTGACTTTAAAGCAAAGATACTCAGACTTACCACAGAGGCTTTTCATTTTATAGATGAAGGTTCAATGTATTAGATGTCACATAAAATGTACAATAAAATGCTTGAACACAGGAAATGTCAATAAGTTGTAGGTCTCCCTTTGAGATAATTTTTTATTTTATTTTATTGGTGTTTACATGCTCTTCTCTCCACCCTTGGCTGTCTCAGATCACACTCACAGGCCAGTACATTGACTGATGAGGAGGAGTGTGTGATTTTTGGATATATAATATAAAATGTGTTTTAGGAAGAATTCCCCCTCCAAAAAAATCACCATTAAAAAATAGAAAGTTCTCAGGCTCATCAGTGTTTTCTACCCACAGATCCGTTCTGTAGTTCACTGTCTCTGCCTCCAAAATTAAAGCCCCCACAAAAATAACAAGCTCAGTGCTTCTGCAGCATTGACTCTTGAGTTCACAGCTTGTTCATCCTTCTTCCTCTGCATCCAAAGACGTGGTGAAGAAGGTTACAGTGAGAAAGACCTTGAAGAATGAGTGGAATTTCCTATGGCCGAGGACAGGCATGCCAGGTGGGGAGACTGATATGTGTAATGGCATTTTGTTCTTTACTGTAAGGAACAAAATACAGTAAAACAGTTGTTTGGGGGAGGACACAAGAAAAGTAGGGAAGTAACCTCAATATTTTCCCTGAAGCTACAGAATCTGACTGGAGAATAAAACTCATACAATTGTGTGTATCCCGTAAAATATCCCATATCTCTTAGGAAATCTGAATGTCTTTAAGATAATTGCACCTCATCTTTTATTCTGTGATTTTTATTTCTCTTTGTGTGTCTGTTTATGTCTTCCCTTGTGTCTTCTGAGGGACATTTGTGGCGAGGTCCCCCTCTTGGCTCACTGGGAGTTCATCTGCTTCTCGTGGCTGTTCTTTCTCCACCTAAAGTCACAATCTGTTCTTGGGAAGACACACTACTCATTTGCACAACAGCCGATTGTGAGATGGAAAGGGAGAAGTGCAATCACAGTTGGGCTGTGAGCGCTGGTGTGGAAGAAGTCCGATAGCCGATAGCCACAGACCTTCTTTCTGAACCTGTGTCCTTAATAATAAAGAAGGGGTAGGAGTTCAAGAATGCTAGAAGGGAGCGGAGTCCTAGCTAGATGGCTGAGGGAGTGCACATGATGTCAGCAATGAATTCAGGCCCTACTTTCTGTTTTCCTATAAAAATCCTATTTTAGTTGTGGTATCTTTGACGCATCTGCTGGCATAAGCAGGATATCTGCCACAAATAAAGATTCAAAAATATCTCTTTCTTGTAGAACTTGGAAACAGTAATTCTGAAATTAAAGCCAACCTACAAAGGATCCAGAAGGATCCCAGGCCCTTTCTAATGCAGAGAGCAGTGAAGTCCGTGCTGAATCCAGGCACCTCTGAAGTGCAGGCTCTAACGTATGGAGGGGAAGACACCTCTGACAGGAATGAGGTCCTGAGCTCATAACTCGGAAGACTCAAGTCAGAGCTGAGTGATCTCTCGGTGGTCAGGATATTTCTGGAAGAAATATTCATGCCCCAAAGTGAAGAGCGATGAATTGGCTCCCAACCCCAATCATGAAGGTGAAAACTTCAAAGCTTTAGAGTAACTGCTCACAGAGGGTAGGAGGTTGATCACCAGGCAGCACAGAATTGTTTGGTAAATTGTTTTGGCAGCTTTACCTAAAAAGAGGATCAATAGTTTGTATAGTCATGCATCAGATATCAACACTGAGGTCAATGATGGGACCTACAGGAAAACAGTCTCATGGCATTAGATCGCTCATTGACCTTCGTAGCTGGCTCCGTTTGTGTAAGCACACTCTGTGATATTCCCACAGTAATGAAGTCGCCTAATCCAGCATTTCTCAGAACATACTCCTGTTGTTAAGTGACACATGACTATAATTAAAACCCAGATGGCCTCTTGAAAAAATAATCTGATATAAATCTAAAGTGACAGATTATTTGAGTTGAGAGGGACTCCATTGCTCATTGAAGTCAATCTTCTTATTTTATTAAGGAAACTGATGTCCAGATACTTCCTGTCATACCCAGGAGCAGAATTCTGGTCTCCCAAGAGCTTTGTGTGCTATGTTAATGCCCAGCACTCTCTTCATATGTAATCCCAGGAGCATCCTAAACATTGCTGAGCGAGTCGAGTCCCAAGGTATGTGTGAGGAAGAATGGCTGTGCTATAAGAATACTCTGGAAAATCTGACAAGTCAGTGTGAACCATGGGAAGAGCAAGTAGCCCCAGATCACACAGGCAGTCCCTATAGGGGTGTGGCTTTTGAGCTCAGTTCTTCAGGTCAGCATTAAGATTGGGGGGAAACAAAATAGAGACTTTGTTTAGAAACAGAAGATGGAGAATTCTTCAAAATTTGAGCCAGGCTTCCTAAGTCAGTGCAGAAGGAGCCAGGGGAAAGGGGCCCAGATGCCCAGGAAGTGAGGCAGGGAAGTGGGTCCCAGGCCAGACGGTTGTGGCAGAAGGCGGGGGTGGTTGTGGTAATGATGAGGGTTTGAGAAAACATAGGTGCCCACGCATCTCAGCGACCAGAGGGCAGACAGAGCCATCTGGGAGGGGGAGGCTGCCTCCAACAATGCTGACAGCACGTCAAAAACTTCAGCCCTCAGTAATGTTGCTGATGGGAGATGAACTGGGCTATGAACTCACTGATGGTATGTGAGATATGAACTTGCTGATGGGCTATGAACCCAGTGATTTCTTACTGAGTCCAAGGG